ACACACACACACACACACACACACACACACAAATAAACAAAAATGTGAGAAGAAATAGCTCTTCCTTACAATTGTTTTAAAAACTTCCTTAGAGCCAGGTGTGATGGTTCACACCTGTAATCCCAGCTACTGGAAAGGCTGAGGCAGGAGGATAAAAAGTTTGAGGACAACCTGGGCAACTTAGTAAGACCCTTTCTCTCCAAATTTTTTTAAAAATTCATTAAAAAGGACTGGGAATGTAGCTCAGTGGTAAAGAGTCAATGCGTTCAATTCCCAGAATCCACCCCCATCCCCTATATCTCAAAAAAAAAAAAATTGATTTAGTAGAGTTTATCTAAGCAAAGAAAAATAAAGCAAAAGATAGTTTGGGAATCTGCAGCTCCCAGAATCAAAGAAGCTCCTAAGAACTCCAGTCAACAGCATGATCTGACATCATTTACAGAAAGCAATGAGGTACAGAGACAACTAATCTGTTACAGCTTAATTGGTTAATGGGCTACAGAGCCCTGTGTATTTAACTAAAGTTCATTTAATCAGTGATTAAACTCTGTATTTGTTTGGTGTATTGGGTCCAGGGCAGGAGCCTTATCGATGGTCTCCTACAAAATTTTATTAACCCAATTGAATGCCAACTAAATAAGTGGAGAAAGAATGATAAATTTATAAAAATCACCATTTAATAACCATCATAGTAATGATTGATTCGGGCAAGATTCATAAACCATGCTAGTGGTTTAAAATTTAATGAACAGGATTTCAGGTAATTTCAATGTGTCTCCCCACTAATTACAAAAAAAAAAAAAAAAAAGGGAAAAGGTAACTGTAAAGAAAACCTGGCAGATACCACTAAACCTAGTGATTGAAATTTACATAAGAAATTTCAAAAACTGACATCATGTGTCTTTTGAAGCAATATAGCAAGAAACATTACCTCTGTGATATTCTTGTTTTTTAAAAAAATGCAATTTAACTCTAATTATGAGGAAACACCAGCCAAATTAAAACTGAGGGTCATTCTATCAATAAAATAAACAGCCTATGTCTTCAAAAATGCCAACGATTGGCATGGAATGGTGGGACATTCCTGTAATCCCAACAACTTTAGAGGCTGAGGCAGGAGGATGGCAAGTTTAAGGCCAGCCTCGGCAACCTAGCAAGACCATCTCAAAATAAAATATTAAAAGGACTGAGGATATAGCTCAGTGGTAAACACTCCTGGGTTCAATCCCCAGTACAAAAAAAAGAGTGAAGTTTACAAAAGATTACAAAGACTGAGACTCTGCTCTAGATTAAAGGTGACTAAAGGAAAAAAAAAA